GTGATTAAAACCAGTTGTACTACTTCTAGAAAGAATTAGCCTAATAACTATTATTGCTCACTTTGGTTTCATCCCATTGGCGCAAGTTAAACTCTTCATCCAAAAGAATAATTTACATATTCGTTTAGTGAAGATTTCAAATTACATATTTCGCCAATAGGTGGCGGCAAATGATCGACTTGAATTTGCCTGTCTGCAAATCTGAAGTTTTTACATAATTCCATTGATTAACTTCTAAATTTATAAAGACAAATGACAAACAAATGAGAAAGACTCGAAAAACAACCCCCTCAAAAATCCCATCAATTTACATTGAAGAAGGCATATATTCACTAGAATAGAATAGATAACTGACTCTTTAGACTTGGGTGACTACTAGGCCACCCAAAACACCATAGCAACCAGAAACATGCTAAAAACACTTACCTTAGCAACAGCAAAGACCTGGCAAATATACAAAACACTAGCATTGTGGGAAACACAAGCACTCACTTTGTCTTTGTGATATATTAGTGGAAGGTGGAACAGTAAGCAAGAAACCTGTATTTCACAGTGAAGACACTCCACAAAATATTTTGAGGGATTTTCAATCGGTCTGCAGGGTCAAGGCACTCTTAATGTGGAACGCTATGAATCAGTGAAGACCTCGCTGATGCGGATAAATAACGGCAATGGTCAATTTAGTCTAGCGAGAAAGGAATGTTTAACGGAGACAGAAGAATGTCTGAAAGACATGAACCACAAATTCAATAAAATAACATTTGGACCCGCTCTTAAGAACCCAAATAAGAACTGTAGGATTTTTTTTTTTTTCTGGCCGGTGGCTCAACAAACACGAGAGGAATCTCAGATGTGGAATATAGTGCTGTGTTGATTTTGGATGATCACATTGTCACACTATTAACCACCATCCATCTGGAGGTGGGAAGAGATACGCTTCAGATCTTCCTACAGCCATCATCGCTCTGAAAAATAAATACACAGGCTGACACATTGTCGCATTGAAGCTTTTTGTTTTATAGCGAATCTCCCTGGTATCAATCTGTTGGGGGAAGACAGCGGAAGCGGATGCGGTGTGTTCTGAGCACAGGACAAAGAGGATGCGCGTCGCATTGCCTGCTGACCAGATTTCATCAAAGTGAGAGACGTGCTGCAGGGCCTTTATGTCACATAAAAGAGATAAGCTTCAAACAGACCAATCTAAAGCTGGGCTGCAGGCCTCCACGTGGGGTGTGGAACGGCAGGTTTAAAGCATGAAGCAGGCATATAGTTCTCTGGAGAAAGTTTGAGCATCGCTGTGATGGAATCAGACAGGTAATATTTTATTTTGACATAAAGCTTAATACTGTGCGATTATCATTCATATGCTATGGTATTGATTGAAAGAATGTTATGGTAGTGTCCAAATCCATTGCAATGGTATGTGATGCAAGAGGACAATAAAAGTGGACAATGATAGTTGGTATAATAACAGTAATAACAGTGAAGTACAGTATACACTCACCTAAAGAGAACACCATACTAATACTGTGTTTGACCCCCTTTTGCCTTCAGAACTGCCTTAATTCTACGTGGCATTGATTCAACAAGGTGCTGAAAGCATTCTTTACAAATGTTGGCCCATATTGATAGGATAGCATCTTGCAGTTGATGGAGATTTGTGGGATGCACATCCAGGGAACGAAGCTCTTGTTCCACCACATCCCAAAGATGCTCTTTTGGGTTGAGATCTGGTGACTGTGGGGCCATTTTAGTACAGTGAACTCATTGTCATGTTCAAGAAACCAATTTGAAATGATTCGAGCTTTATAACATGGTTCATTATCCTGCTGGAAGTAGCCGTCAGAGGATGGGTACATGGTGGCCATAAAGGGATGAACATGGTCAGAAACAATGCTCAGGTAGGCCGTGACATTTAAATGATGCCCAATTGGCACTGAGGGGCCTAGAAAGTGCCAAGAAAACGTCCCCCACACCATTACACCACCACTACCAGCCTGCACAGTGGTAACAAGGCATGATGGATCCATGTTCTTATTCTGTTTACGCCAAATTCTGACTCTACCATCTGAATGTCTCAACAGAAATCAAGACTCATCAGACCAGGCAACATTTTTCCAGTCTTCAACTGTCCAATTTTCGTGAGCTCTTGCAAATTGTAGACTCTTTTTCCTATTTGTAATGGAGATGAGTGGTACCAGGTTGAGATGGTCATCACTGCAGTACACAAGATCCAGGGTGTACTGTATCCAACCTTACATATACCTAAACCTACCCATCTCCACCCCTGATCCCTAACGCCACCCCTAATCCTACCCATCCATCTCCACCCCTTAGATCTGGATCCAACTCCGCCCCCTGGATCTCGTGTATTGAAATGAGGTGCTACTGACCAGGTTGGGTCTTCTGCTGTTGTAGCCAGATTGTGAAATACTGAGCAGATTGTGAAATACTCAGACCGGCCCGTCTGGCACCAACAACCATGCCACCCTCAAAATCGCTTAATAATGGTGTTAATGTTGAGGTGAAAAGGACTTAATAAGCAATCAAACATATAAATTATAAGAGAAATAAAACTTAGAAAACGAAATTTATAAAAATAGGAAGTTATTAAAAGTTATATAGTTATATAATAATAATAAATGTAATTTTTTATATTCAGCCCCTGTTTGAGTATTTGCCAGTTTAATTTGGGCTCAGGCTGCATTTCATGGAAGCACAATGAATGAATATAAAACCCTGTTTCTTAATGTAGAAAATGTCCATCTGCTGTACCGATGGTGGGGTGTGTGCATGTGTTTTTGGATGGGATAAGATGCTATTTTAGCTCCAGAATGAGAGATTTGATTTTCTCTCTCTCTCTCCGGAGAGCCACACAGAGGAGCTCACAATATAAATGATGTCTGTTTCTGTAATCAACCTCCACAATTGGGTGAAATTAACACAGACCCACCTGATCAGCAGGGAAAGCGAGAAAAACGGCATGAGCCAAACATGGCGAGAGAGACAGAGAGAGAGAGAGAGAGAGAGGAAAAGAGATGTAGAACAAATGAGATTAGGCAGAATAATCAATGAGACGCTGATACTGATCCCAGAGCAGATTCACTGGCATAGACAGATTGGCACAATTAGACAGGAAAGGGCTGTTGATATCAGAAGTTGTGTAGAGGGCACAGATGGACTCTACCCAGGTGAGAGGAAAGAAAACATTGGAACAGACCCTCATGAAAGCATCTGAAAAAAGGTTGATGTATGTTAATTTATGGCTTTCAACATTAAAAAAAGGGAAAACAGTGCCATAACAATGAAATATAAGTCTAATTGTTTCTCACATCTCTTAGTGTACAAATATTCAAATTCAATGTTCAGAATGGGGTAGTTTAGTCTCAAATTTCAGTCACGACCGTTCATAGTATATATTATTCATAATATGACATCCACTGGATGCATACAATATATTTATAGACAGCTTCATAACATCACAACATATTGGAAGCTTTTTTTTTTTCTCACCAGAAAGAGGTGAGCGTGAAATCCCAGAGTAGATCCACAGCAGAGTGATTACTGCAAATTTACAATGCACTATACATTTACAATGCACCGGACCTGTTTTTAGTATGTCTGCTGCTAGTGTCATGCTAATCTTTGGACTTTGGCTGTGTCCGAAAGTATGTAGTTCACTTGAGTGAGTGAATGAAACGTGAGTGAGTGATTTTTGGACTCTTACTATACTTACTATATAGTAGTAATTAGCAAACTGTGCGTGTAACACGAGAATGAATCTCATTGGTTATTGCTAAAGCTCAAACGTGCTGAAATAACATGAGAATTAATCTCATTGGTTATTGCTGAAGCTCAAACGTGCTGAATAACATGAGAATGAACCTCATTGGTTCTTGCTGAAGCTCAAACGTGCTGAGTAAAATGAGAATGAACCTCATTGGTTCTTGCTAAAGCTCAAATGTGCTGAGTAAAACGAGAATGAACCTCATTGGTTCTTGCTAAAGCTCAAATGTGCTGCGTAACACAAGAATGAACCTCATTGGTTCTCGCACATTAAAGGGATAGTTCACTTTGAATGTAATTTTTGATATGTTTTAGCTTACCTCAATGGCATCCAAGATGTAGGTATCTTTGTTTCCACAGTATTTTCAATTTTGACATATTTCAGTCAAACCGTTGTTGTCTATCAGTAATATACAGTAATGCAGGAATAGGGGGTCCACATCAAAGACCATGCACAGAGAAGTCCAAATTAAACATGATTTAATGACTGGTAAATGCAAGTACACATTGATGGCCTAAGACACGAAACGAGCGGTTTGTGTGAGAAAACAAACAGTATTTATATCGTTTTTACTTCGTGTAACCACAGCCATGTCCAACTGATCTGAATCAGTTGTCCAATGTCCAACTGAATCATGTCCAACGTTCCGCCGGATGTGATCGCTTGTGTGTTTACGTCACTCATTATTTACACAGAGATTTCGGAAGTTTTACCTTTCACTAAACATATTTAGATATATCGAAATCGTCTTCCATTGCGATTTCCTGTATATCTAAACATGTTTAGATCTTCACATTGAAAGGTAAAACTTCCGAAATCTCTGTGTAAACAATGAATTTTTTTTTTTTTAATTTCTACCTACCCCACCTTTAACTATCCCTTTAAATTCGATAATAATATAGCCTTCATAAACATTATAAAAATGTAAAACAGACACATCTTCACTTGTGGTCTCAAGATGTTTGGACCCAAATGTTTATGAATGTACCATGGTATTTATTTACTCAGTTGAACAGTAAACTGATCAAAGCTTTTTTGATTATATAATTCTTTGCACTTATATTTATGGTTTGATTTCTTTTCTAAAATCAGGCCAATTTAAGAAAAATATTTTTAGAGAAAGATTCAAAGCACTTGGGTATCATCTCATGTCTGTCTAAGTGTGTGAGTGTGTGAACAAAATAAACACGACAGTTGTTTTCAAAATCTTTTGATCTATATAATTGACACAAGGGTTTTTCTCTTTCTTTTTAAAGAACATACAACAACAATGGACAAATCATTTCTTCAGTCTCTTCAAAATGTTCTACTTTCAACCTTAAACACAAACTCCCCATTATTGTTCATTTAAAAACAAACTAACAAAAAATAATAAACTATATACCAGAATGCATTTTTTTTTTTCAATCTCAGCACAATATTAGCAACATTCATCAGTAAAGAGAAAGTGGCAGTGCCACCATTACGCCATTGCACCTACAGGTGGGACTGTTTTCCTGACCTGGAGTCAGATCACTAACTGTCAAAGATTTGACACATGTGCTAAAGACAGTTGAGCATATCACTCTACAGATAGTTAGTGAATTGTGCCATGGCACGGGTCCTTTTCTTCAACCACATCTGATCCAATCGATCAAGAAAACAATCCATAACACTGCCTGTGGGATATTTCTCTGTTATCGACCCCTGGTCATGGTGTAGTCATGCGGACGTGGCCGTGTGCGTCATGCATTGTGCAGCATTTCTAACTGTAAGAGTAGGGGCGTTGTTCTCCATCTTAATGACCCGGTCAGATCTGTCCACCACTGTATATAGTGGCTGAAACTGCAGCATTTTTCTCTGCAGTGCTAATGGCAACCTTAATCATCATTCAGGACAGTTACATCACTTCCTGTATCCTCTAGAAACGCAAAGTTCATTAATAGAGCGGAACAAATATGCTCTTCTCAGGTTTGGTCAAAATGCGTCATTCTCTCTTAGGCCTGAAACTCTATGCAAGTACGAGAACGCAAATGTTTCTTTCAAGATTTAATGCGTAGTTCAGACACTGATTGGTTCTTCCAACGCCATTGGCCAATCAGAAGTACTTCCCAATCCACGTAACCATTTATATCATGCCGTAGCCTGTGAACGGCATTCTGCGCGATTATAAAAGCTTCTCCCCAGCACCACCTGTAGAGATCTACCATTTCTTGCAGCAGCCAGTCCTTTTGTTTGGTATTTTGACTAAGCTGAACAAATTATTGTATTAGCTCAGCAGCAGCGTAGCAGATCTACGTCAAAATTAGGCATGTGTATATTCCATGCCCCATGCCACTAAATGCTGGTTGAAATAATCCACTCCGAGAGTTGTCAGGACTAAAATGTAGTAAATAATAAAAGAGAAGCAAACCGTTGATTTACTGTCATGGCGGAGCAACAGTTTGAAGTGAATTCTAGCTGAGCAAGCTACTTAAGGCAAGTAAAACTCTCAACATGTTTAGCTATCGCTATCACTCAAATATCCAAAGGTAACTCTATCGCCCCCTTGAGAACTAAGGTGTGATATCACTACATCGCACGCAAAAACGCACATTAGTATGCATGATGGCATGTTATTCGCATTTACATACTTGCATAGAGTATGGTTCTTGCCTACAACTGACATACTTTCATTGGTAATAGTTAAGCAAACGTTTGCTCAATGTTGCGCAACACAGTTTTTTACATCAACATTGTGTGTGCCATAAACAAATCCAACTTGTCTGCTAAATAATGAAGGGCAGGGAAATATTTGAGACACATACAAAATGTGACTCACTGAACTAATCTGACCTGACATGGATGTACACGAGTAGTTTCGTATTGTGAGTTCTTGCAATGCTTTCTCTGAAGTACACTCACACATAACACACACATCTTTATGATGAGGTTTGAATCAATATCAAATTATCAAATGTCCAGAAACCCCTCCACGTCCCTCTGGTTTCGAGTCTTTCATTCTCCATCTTGTCTTTTTTCCCGCGTGTAAAATCCCTTTCTGAGACGACGGTCATTATTTATCTGTCCCACGGATTAGAGCACATCTTTTCGTAAAATGTGCCCATCTCTTTCTCATTGCTGGTGCATTAACGTTTCATTCCATATATTGCTCTAGTGCCGTTGAGGGTCTTCAAGGATATACTGAAAATGTGACTGTGGTTAGTAGACGTTTATTTACATCCAGAGTAAAATACATGTAGGGTTCTCTTTAGGATGGCCTCCAGAACCCATTTGTGAAGCGGAGTGCGGAAACTGTTACAATAAACGAGAGAGACAGAGAGAAAGAGAGAGGGAGAGAGACAGCTGGTCTTCACAAAACAAGACTCAGTAAAGCTTGTTTTCATGATTAGAAAGCTTTAAAACAAAGGAGAACACGCGGTTCTTTCATTTGCTTTGATCGAGTGTTGAAGGACATTCTCAAGCTTTGAGACGTCTTATCTTTATGGGTCTTCATTAATAAATAAATATAACCTAAAATCATTTTTGAATAAGGAGAAACCTGCTTGTTTTGTTTGCTGGGGTGGATTTTCATAGCTATTGTTTTAGATATCACGGAAGCATTCTCAGAGACCTTTTCATCACAGACATAAAGACAAGCAAAAGACCAGCTCTAGGGGTGTCATATATCAAATAAGAGACAGAAAAGTACACAGATCTAAGAATATTATTCCATGGTGTTCTTATTCAAGACAAAAGAAAAGTGATGCATTCGCCGGTTTGCGTTGATGTTTGCATGTTTGTTTTGGCAATGTGACTAACCCCGCCCCTCCACAATCCAACCCAGTCCTGTACTCAGTCCCAGTTGGTGGAAATGCCTGTCAATTATTGCCTAAGCAGGACTGTGACCAATGAGAGAAGGTAGAGGCTGAGGCAAGGAAGGTTCTGGCTGCTTCTTCCATTCACCTCCTTCTTGATCCCTGGCTGATAGGCGTACACTTTGGGTTTGTCCGTGTTTGGGGCATTTAAACGCGGACCACGGGAACATTGATCATCGACACACATTCCACTTCCTGAACCGCTGATATCATCACCTAAAGATGAGAAAACAATGAGCTAAAGTGAGACAGGAATGTTCCACAGGAATGACCAAGCTACATTCCAGGGTTGGAGAGCAACTAACTAAAAGTAGCAACGCTGTTTAAGTTAACTGCATTTTTGGATCCGGAATGTAGACTGTTTTTAAATTAGGACATCATCTTGCGTCCCTCGCCCTCGATCCAACTAACTAGAAATTTTGTGTGAAATGAATTTCAAACTCTGGTGACAGCTAACGTTAGCCTTGTAGACGGAAGAGTGATTTCTCTGTTTGCGCTGTTCCGGATTAGTGGGTGTTGCATACAAATGCGCCCTTCGGTTATTTTATGTCTTTTCTCGGTCAAGGGGGCACCAAATTCAAAAATGATTTCACATTTTGACTACATATATGATCCACTTTCAATAAAGATTAATGTTGAAATGGGTGAAATGCTCCTTTAACTAATATTAACCAATTATTGTAAAGCGTTACAAAAAAAAAAAAAAAATGACTCAAATCACATTAATGACCAGTTGTCAATCATTAATATCCCTTATTTTGTAATAAACAAAATAAGTAGTTTTCAGTTCTGTTAAATTAGGATTTTTTTGGAGGTGTATTAACCCTTAAAGACCTAGACCATTTTTGGAGCACCTGCACCGCTTGTTCTTTTCTTTGTTTTTCTAACCCATTATAGCAGTCAGCATCAAGTGCCATATATCATTTTTAACAGGAGAACTTGAAGTTTCAATCTATCTCATTTAAATAATCCAATTTTACATTTAATTTGTCTTAGAATGGATGAATTTACCAGATTTAAGAAAAACGGCAGCATATTTGTAGTGATTTTTTTTTACTCAACTCAAACAAATTCTTCTGAAGTTTGGATTTTTTTCCTTTAGAAAGCTGTACTTGGATATTTTACATTTCCAGATGTAATTTTGACTACATGCAATAATCCCTAAGCGAGTTATAGGTATTTATTACAACATTATTATAGGCGATTTTCAGTGAAAAGCATTGTTTCAGTGAAAACATTTGTAATAAATACAGTACTTACTAGTGTCCTGGAAGTTCACGTCATTTCCATTGACGGCATATTTCAGTCGGTTGATCATTATCTTGAGCTGCATGATCTGTTTGCGTACAGTCATGTCTGGTTTAGTGATGTCGATCTCCACCTCAGGATTATTGATCTGACTGGCCAACCCGTCTCCCATCACTTCAGGCAGATACCTGACAGAACACGACACATTAAGAAAGCAGCATGAAATCATCAACAGGCAACATCACACACCGACTAAAATCTGAGTGCACATGTTTCCATTGCTGACAATATCTGTGCTCCTCAGCTGCAGATTTTCTACTATAAAACGCTATTAAATAATCGGTAACGCTTCCTTTTACAGTACAGTACTTACAGTGTACTTACCTAGAAAGAATTGGCTAATATAAGGTAAGTACATGGAACAGGGGTAGGTTCAGGGTTAGTACTAGTTATTACCCAGTAATTGTAGTTACTAAAATAACCACATAGTATTTACATGGGTAACTCAACTGTAAAAGGAAGTGTTACCACATAATCTACAGAGAGCCATCTTGTAGTCACTGTACAAGGCAGTACAGCTGTGCAACACAGTGTGTGTTTCTATTAAAACTGAGGTTGATTGAGCTGTCCATTTGCATTTACCTGTCCACATTCATTCCATTCCAACATCTGTCTACATCACTCGGTCCAGACTCACGATCCACACACAGTTTTCTGGGCAAATGGACCCAGTATTGCATCATATCCCTCAGCATTCTGGACACATCGGATAACTGAAAGAAAATGTGATCTCACAAATATGGCATACGGCATCGAAAAAACAATTGTAATTACAAATAATAAAATAATTAACACTTCTGCTATATGCATTTACAAAAAAGCATATTTTTTTGTTTTAGATTATGCTAACATATATCTTTTAGCATATTATTGAGCCTGCAGTTCACTGTAATATTAACCCTATAAAACCTGCTGCATCCTCTTTGATACACACATTTTAAAACCCTCTAAATTATCACTATGATCAGACCATTGCAGAAAAACCTGTTGTACGCAATATACTACATGTCTTCTGATTTATAGTTCATACTTTTTAGTCAATTTAAATGATTCTTAAAAGGTCCACCTTCAGGTTGTGGTACACGTCTTTTTACTGTGAAATATTTACTGATTTTTATAAAGTAAACGTAAAAAATTACCTTTATATGTTAGTAATATTTCAAGATTAACACTTACTGGATTGAAGCAACTTTGCTTGATTATCCATACATATATTTATAGGCATTTTATGTACGTGCTATTCTGTTAAAGAGTTACATTACAAGCCACTGTATCAGAGTTTTCTCTAATTTTTCAGCTAGAGTTATATCACCATCATTATCATTCTTCTTATTATTTTATCAGGCTTTACAGATAAAAAAATAATCATTTTTGAATGACATTTTTGTGACATTTTGTAAAATCAACAATTTTGTTACTGTGGTGGGCTGCCACTTTATGCTCGATGTAAAATCTGGGTTCTGGAGCAAAAACGGCTACAGTACACCATCTAAACACACTCACTAGTTTCTCCAACTGGGCTCCTGGGGTGCTGCTGACTTCTTCTGCTGTGTTTCTCCCTCGCTTGATCTGCTCATCAATGACGGAGCCCTGAGCAGGAGAACCACATGCCTGAAGCACCTGAAAAACAACAAATTATGGCATTGGTTTTGGCACAGGATTCTGGTTAACTTAGGTTCAATATATATGTATGAATTCATGATATATAAAAGTCTGTTAAGTCCAGCACTGACCTTATTGTTGAATGTGTTGCGGTTGTCTTGCATGTAGAGAATAGCTTCAGCAATGCGTTTTGGTAGAGACAGAACCACCGAATCCACACTGTAAGGCCGACTCAGTTTGTCAACCACCTCCAGCATAGCATCTACACACAAACACAGTCTTTATATCATGTTGACATGTAGACAACCAACCAACTACAAGGAAAATCACAATATTATAACATTTGATTTGAAGCAAAAAAAAGTATTTGAAAATCATACAAAAAAACAAAGGTTACAGACTGTGTACTTAATGACTTTAATAAGGGGAATAACTACAATCCCATGAAACATTGCAAATGTCAATCAAATAAAAAAGATTAAATGATTAATTTAAAGGCAGGGTAGGCAATTTGTGATTCGAATTTATGCATTTCAATAGCAACACTATCAACGCCGAAATGATCTGCAGCAGTCAGGTGGTCATAATTATTGCAATGTTATGTGCTTTGAGACATGAGTTAATTTAATGCCATCACTTGTGACTTGCTATTGCTAGCCGTTTCAAAAATTGCCTACCCTACCTTTAAATTTGCTGTATTGAGACCGACTCATTTGCAGTGCTTCATGGGAGAGAGCGTTCCATGCCATTTGGTACATTTTGCTAATATATAATGAGAACTGATGGCTTCAGCAAAAGAATACCATCAACTAACAGTCGTGGAGCTCAACAAAGGTCTGCCTTCAAAAGTTTAAAAGTTAAAATCAATCCCCTTGAAGAAAATTTATGTAATTTTTACTTCCGGAAATCGACCTTTTTTTTTTTTTTGGCCCTGTCCCAAGTGGCACCATTTATATGCACTTACGGTCTTATGGACTTACAATGGCTACAATGGCTAAAAATTTTGCATATCCTGATTTTGCTGAATTAGACATTCCTGGGTCTACATATTTTGTTGATCCTGGAACAACATCCTGTCAAAAAATGTTTTATCCTAACCATATCCCTACCCCTAAACCTAACCTTACCCATAAGTTATCCCTAAAATCAGAGGGAAATGATCAGCTGAACAACGCTGATGTAGAAGCACCTAACCCCTGTTGTTAGACTAAACTTGATATAAATGATAAACTTGTCCCTCAAATCTGATTGGTTGATTGGAATGTTGTTCCAGGATCAACAAAGATGTTGATCCAGGAACATGTTCTACTTGGTGAATCAGGTTCTGTAGCGAGCTACAGACAGTCAATGTGGCGTTACATCACAAAAGGAGTGTTTAGGGTGTCATTTGATCTATCTTGGCCCCGCCCACCTGCCAGGTTCCTCCACTCAGTGTCCAGATCCGCTTGATTAGCAAGGCAGCCCTTCATGACATTCTTACAGTAGTTTGAGCAGGGCTTGGCAATGGTAACACCGCTACAGTGAGGACAGTACGTCAGCTTCATGACGGCACGCACACATTCAGTGCTCAGAGACACCTGCATGAGAGAGACAAAGAAATGAAAGAACAGCGGAAGCTTATTTATACTGGCTCGCGTCACTGAAGAAAATGCCCTGAATTGTTTTGTGTCACATATAATAAATAAAATTGATCATTACAATCAACAAATAAGTCTTTGTCAGTTCCTATAGTTTCCCATGAGGTCCAAGGATGTGGGATGATACATTTTTGTATTGCATAATATCATGCTTCACTACAAACGAGGTCAAAGACATCTTTCAGAATATTCCCACTTTTTATCAGAAACCTCCACCCTTCTGATGTCAAAGCACAGGATTTATCCAGGGCCCCTTAGGGAAAAGTAGCGCAACTCAGAAAGGAAAGAAAAACTTGACATTTGCTTGTATAGATATTTAAAAGAATCTAATTTCATGGATATTAAAAGGCAAAACTAGTTTTTGTTCAGGTGTAAATCAGTATGACATTTTGTTTCTGTACATGTAACTGTATTAGTTCTTGCATAAACAGCTCTGCAATGCAACTTTGACACATTTTTACAAAGCTGAATGTCAGCAACTGTATATTGCAATGACTTTGTTCTGAACAATCTTTAATCAAAACCTTCCAAGCGACCAGACGAAACACTTACAATCACATGCGTTCCTTTTATTATCAACTCTGAGTCGTTCAGAAAGTGATGCGAATAAATTTGTATTTCATTGAAATTTATACTTTTAAATTCAAATCGAAACGGACAAGTAACCCCAGATGAGTTAATGCTGAGCTGCAGTTCTGTCATGCAGTATGAGTTCAGCCTGATAAAAGTAGACTCCATGGCCCATTATATTAAACCTGGATGAAAAGTAGATGCTAGGAGACGAGCAACAGTCAATTCTGCTGTGGCTTTGTCGGCGGATGCAAAAATAGACAGTGTAAATGGCAATAGTGTCTAAAATGTAAGTTACTCAAGATTAACTTTTTGTTTGTTGAACTGCAGTAACTGGGAAAGGCGCCACATGGGTAGCAGATTCGCTTCGCTCTAGATATTAATATGCACATATACTTCACTTTAAAGTGAAATCCGGCAGCATCAAGGGAGGAAGACATTTTTATCACATGTTGAGATATAAATAACTGGACATAATTCAGACTCCTACACACCTTACACACACATACACACCACCTGAAGATGACTCAAGCACACTTTTTTAAGCTGCAGTCAATAGATTTTCCTCTTTGTCGCCATCTCTGTTTGAAATCTGCAATTTAAAGTTCTTCGCGGAATTATCAACTTTACGTGGGTTGTGCCTCGGCATGGCACAGCACGGTTTATTCTAATGTTTTGAGGATATTGTGCAGCTGTCAATCACCGTGCTGTTGTAGATACTTTCATTCAGAATCACAAGCCATGTTTCCATCCACTTGTCAATCGAATTATCTGAAATTCGGTTAAAAAACTCATGCGGATAAAGCTGGTGAAAGTGTGTTTCCATTCAACGGCTTTAAAGCGAATAAAAACCTGTACGTAATGACGTCACATGCTGTTTTGCGATCAAATTGGTATATCGAATTGATTTGAGACATTTTAAGGTGTTTCCATTTATTTTCGCACTGAATCGAACAACATTCAAGCAAACTTTTGCGAACAAAGTTTTGTTAGACAAAACGGATCGCGCCATCTACCAAAAATGATCAATATTTCACAAGTTGAAGGCTAATAATATGTGCCAGCTGATAGCGACATATGAATGGGATAATGTATGCGAGGCGGTTGTTGGTTGTATTCGCTATAGACCATTTCACAAGATGTAAACAACACTGGTCCAGAAGCACTTCCTGTTTCAGTTTTTTAACACTACAAAAAAGCTGGGATAAAATACAACCAACAGAACATTTAAAACTGAATCAAAAAGTTAAACAAACATCTTTACGGTGTTTTCTTTACATGTGGAATAAAGAAAACAGTTACAAACTGAAACAGGAAGTGTTTCTGGACCAGTGTTGTTTACATCTTGTGAAATGGTCTATAACAACCGCCTCGCTATTATCCTGCTTATTACATATAAATCAACCAAATAAATAAATAAATCAATAATTTGACACAAAATATTGACTTAAAAACGAGTTTATTGATTTAAAAACGAGTATTGCTTCTGCTAAAGAAAATAGTCTGTTCCGTCTCTGAACTGCGTCCATGGCAACGGTGTGTTATACTAGCAGCGCCGCAGTCTGTTAACTAGAAATAACAGACCACATTCTACATTAGAACTCAACCAAGCCAAGTAAAAACAAGCAAAACTAACCTAAGAAAACAACGACGCTAAACATTGCTATGATGATGACGATGCACGTAAATGCCCGACGACAGCGGAGGTGACTGTGGTGTGGAAACGAGCGCTCCATCAGTTCTGGGAGATCGTGGTTCACGGAAACCCTTTGGTTGAAGCATCTTTTTGCTTTGTCCACTTACATCTGTCTTTGTTGACATCCGCCATGTGTGCGCAAACAGAGTGGCCGGAAATGAACTCGTCTTCTGACGTGTTGCAACCATAAAAGGGCATAAAACTTAATCGCAATTCATTATTTATTCGGAAAATAACGTTTCCATCAGCTTTTATCGCATTAACCTTATATCGATCAAGAGAAAATGCGATGAGACCGAACGTATTTCATTTGAGTCGATTTTCATGAAATTTCATCGAATTTTAGGGTTTCCATAAGGCATTTTTCATTCGATATCACTTAATTCGGATAAAAACGTGTCGATGGAAACATGGCTACATATTCTCCTTTTTAGATGTATGACCAACATAAGAATATTCACCAGAAAATGTCACCTGAACAAGTAAGTAATATCCACTTTTTTCTGACCAACTTAGGGGGGGAAAGCATTGCAGTTAATGAAATCTAACGATCGCTTATCATATCACGGCAAATCTTGCAAATTATACTTTGTTCTCAAATAGTTAATGTTAACAATGTAGGAAGATAGGAAAATAGAGAATAGACAAATTGAGTGAATGCAAGAAGGATGTGTGAAGATGCACAGGAAGCTCCGGGGAGGAGGGAAAGTGAGGACAGGAGAAGAGAGTGTGAGAGAGGGAAAAGATAGAACCAGTTGAGGGAGGATAATATGGCACATTAAATCCTCTGAGCACTTGTGATTCATCAGATCAGAGCAGGATAGAGAGAGTTTGCGGCCCAGTATACGGCTCAGATTCAGTTCAGACACTGGACCCACATTTGGGCTTCAGTCTCGTGGACTTCAGTGGAATACCAGGCTGGACATTTAGCAATCTCAAGATAGTGATTAAAACAAATGTTTAAATTAGCAAATGTGTAATTTGCAAATGTGTTATTTGCTTATTGAATTGGTCTGGGCATGTCATAGCCTCCCAGGAAAAAAAGCTACAAAAGCTGTCACCTTAAAGAAATTATCTCATACTTTACTCACCCTCAAACCAGTGAAATCCTAGGTGTATATGGCTTATGTCTTTCAGCCGAACACATTTGGAGTTATATTAAATGATATCATGGCTCTTCCCAGCGTTGTAATAGCATTAAATATCGTCAGAGTTTTGAAGCTCCAAAATGCACATTCATGCATCATAAAAGTAATCCATGCATATGACGTATGATGTAGGTGTAACGTAAGATAGATAGAGCAAAACAAAACACCGGTCACGATTTAGAAGGCTAAAATGAGATTTTTTTTTTTTTAATATAAATTGAGGATTTCGATATAAGAGAAGAGGAGCTACGCCATACGTCGGGTCAAAGGTTACCATTCCGCCGGAACTCGACTCTCTCGTGAGCGCACGTACGGCCGTTGCTGGAAGCCAGTGATTACGGTTTATAAAGTTTTAATTATGATATAATATTTTATTTATAATATATTTATTTAAATATAATATTTTGCTATATAATAATATTACTTCGCTTCAGAATGCATTTATTAACCCACTGGAGCCACATGGATTATTTATGATGGATTATGATGGATGGATGTGCTTTTTGGAGCGTCAAAAACTCTGACACTATTCAATGCCATTACAAATTTGGGAAGAGCCAGGATATAATTTGATATCATTTAGATTGTGTTCGGCTAAAAGAAGAAAGTCATACACATAGGATGGCTTAAGGGTAAAATATGAGATAAATTTCCTTTTTGGGTGAACGTCTCCTTTAAGGGTGCATATTAGTATCTTTTGAAAGGGTACAGCCCCAGTACATTTTTTCTTTCCGTCAGGATATGACCTTCAGTATTGTTTATGCAAATAATTATTAATGAGCAAAATCATGGCAAAATAAAAAAAAACAAGGATGAGTTGCTTAAGGCACACACATTAAATACTGCAACACTGTTATGTAACTCCACATCTGCTGTAATTCAGGCAATGAGTGAGATTTGATCAAAATGTCATGATGCATAACTGTCAATATAATGAGAATGTACATTTTCGATGAGCTCGTTCATATAATCATATTTAAGGATATATAAGCTTACCTCACTTTTGTGACAATACTTCCAGCATTCCTCCTTCACCTTTATTTTATTTTTTTTTACCTTCTATATTTACTATTACTAAATTCTTTATCTATTATGTTTTTGGGTTTAGTTCAAGTGGAGATCTAAGTCCTTGAGCAGAGTCTCATATTTAATAAGCTTATTTAATGTGTAAGTAAAGTATTGTAGCGTGACCGTATATGAAATGTTAGTCTCAATTAGACTGAACTGGAACACATGAGAATAACTGAATCATTTATGTGGAACTGTCTGGAGGAACCAAATTCGCAGAAATGAGTCATACTTTCCAAACACTACTAATTTGTGCCCAGAGATTCTGAACATTGAACGGGTTTAAGATTTTAAACCACTGAAACTTGCAGAATGATTTAAAAAATGACCGCAGATGGAGGAAAGAATGGTGCGAGACAAGCTCATCCCTCATGTATAGATCAGTGCGAGTTAAATATGCATGTCTCTCAAAACTAAGCACTGACAGAATCTCGAGGCCTGTAATTTACTTGCCATCT